AATGTGTATTCTGTTTTTCCTTTGTTAACTGTCTTATAGTGGAAACTTCTTACCTTGTCAATAACTACCTCCTGACTTTGGCAATAATTGACAAGATATACACTCCTCCAGTGGATTCAATATATTGGCTAAACACTTCTTCAGAGGCTGATCTTTTGATTTGCAAATGTTTGACGTTATTTCTGGAAACTATGGTGATCAACCTTGTTTTGCTGTAAGACTTTCCTTGCCTTCATGAGATGCACTTCTTAAAATCCTTTCTTTGGAGAAGCAGCTTTGAGGATAAAAGGTCAGCGTTCTTTGTAGTTGGTTAGTACAGGCATGTTCTCAAAGATGCCAGGAGTAGCCTTTCAGGCAGGGTTTTTTACCATTAGAAGTGGGGAATAAAGTACTTTATCTAACAGTCGCACACCCATCAAAGGGACTGGGAACACAGAAACCGTTTATACCACATGATTCAAATTTTTACTCATGTGAAGGGCTAGTCAGTATTTTTCAGAAATATGTATTAAAGTGACAAAAACCAAAGGTGGAGACAAAACAGCATACCCCACCCCCATTAAGTATATTGGACGACTCCAGTCTGGGATGGGGTTAATATTTGTATTTTGTTGTTTTGAAGCACTTTTATTTCATTGTTCTTTTAAGAATGTTTTCTGAAATGTTGGAACACCATTTTACTAATAAGCAGTGTAAAAAAGCATGATGAGCAGTCACATAGCTTTAGCTTCACAATAAAATGTTGCATTTGTCCTGTTCTTACTGTTTTCTTGTCTGTTTTTCAGATAAAATGTCCAAAACTAAGAGAATTTTCATTAAACCTGAAGCCCATTAAATTGCTGCTGGTTTAAAAAAAAAAAAAATTAAAAAATCAGATGTCGTATACCAGATGATGGAACAATAAATGTGTAAATAAATCAGTTTCTAAAGGACTTAACTCAGGTTCTTAAAACTAATGTAAACAGAAGTGCTACTTCCTAAATAAATGTGCTGAACTTGAAAGTGTGTGCTTATCCTAGTCTTGCCTAGATCGTAGTAAAAACCAGGAGGTTTCACATAACTGATTCTAGTGGTCACGGTGAAGTCCTGAAAAATTTGGAGCCAATTTACTTGGCTTCAAAATGACACCTTTTCTTTTGCTTGGGTGAGACTGCTGCTGTTAATTTTGAGTTAACAATCTAAATTCTACACTTATCTCCATTTCCTTACTGCTTGTAATTCCACAGTCTTGAGGCTGTGTCTGGACTGCTAGGAACTACTGGGGCGTTACGTTTTTACATCCCAAAGATAAGATGAATCAAACTTTTTTTAGAGTAATTTTAATATTACATATCTTGCAGCATTAGGGGGCTCTCAGAAAGCAGCCATGACCACTGCCTTCCACGCATCATTTTATCAATCACTGCTAAAACAAGCAAGCCAAATAAAAATCAATACAGCAATGAGGAAAAAAAACCAATGTTTTGGACTGAACCATGTGAGCTGTTTCTGCGATTCTGTCAAGGGTTAATTCCTTGGGATAGAAGGACATCAATGTTATCTATGCGGGGTAATTATCCAGTATCTCTTTTTGGCTGAAATGCTGCTTCTTGGAGGTTAAATAGACTTCTATTCTGAGGAGATGCTCAGGTAAACTAAAATTAGTGGAGAAGCAAGAGCCTGAAAAAATATCCCACCACTTGCTGTGTTGAAGTCTACAGAGATTATGTACTTGGCAGCATACCCTGGACTGAAGTATCTTGGACTCACTAAATCTTTCCCATTCCAGCCAAGATGACATGCCTGGTGTCAGATGCATGCCTGGTGTCAGATGCAGGCATATCTCAGATGAAAATCTGTTTATTTCTATATTTTAGTGCTCTAAGTTTGCCAGAGAAAAGTGAGAAAAACTAAGTTTAAAGTTGTTGGCTTTTGTTTGGGGTTTTCTGTTCTGTTTTGTTTTTTGACTCATGCCATCTTTCTGCAAATTTCCAAATACTTTGTGAACTTGTGTTATGCAACTTCATCTCTGAGTAATTTTTTATTCTATGTGTAGTGATAATACAGAAAATATTATGTTGTGGTGAAGGCAGAAAAATACAATTTAACTAAAATCCACCTCTCAACACGTGATTTATTCCAGGTGCTGTGTTGCAGCTATAAAAAAAGGTATTTTTCAGAAATCAGCCTACAAACAACCTAATATGCAAAGTGCTGTTTTTACCAAATGCTTTTGAATATTTCACTTTTTTTGGCAAGTATATACTGTAAAACCAATATATTCTTTTTAATACTGTAACTTCTGTTATTTTCAAATCTCCTTTTAGCAATTTCTAAAAGGCCTAAAAATTACCTCTGTTGTAAGACATCCTTGAAGACTGTTAGTTTTGTTATATGCAGAAGGCTGGTATTAGCTGTGCTATTAGTTGTAGTATTTGTCTTCTGAGAAGACACTTCTACTAATGGAGTTTCTAACTGTTGGCCTCTTCTGGGAATAAGGCATGAAATAATCAAAAAGCCTGACAGTATGTCAATAATGAAGTAACCAAACAATTTTGTATTTGTGGAGCAAATCATACAAGATAAAATGTGACCCTAGTGGTTCATGTTAAGTTCTGATTGCCTGGTTAAATTTGAATGGAGGCAGCAGGTGCAATTTGAATTCTCTTACCTGTCATGCAGATTCTATAGAGTGCAAAGCTTATTTTCTGAAAATGTTCCCAAAACTACTTCTGTAGACTGGAAAAAAATTGTTGATTACAGCCAACAGCTTAGAATGAGGTCTGGGACATTAAATACGTGTTTCATGGAATATAATTACCTATCCAGTCTGATAGTTGTTCTTAATTAATGATCCTGTGCTGTGTAAGGACCAGATAACACTCTGGAAAATAAAAATTATTTTGTTTTTTTATCAATAATTCAATCACAATGCTTTGCAAATGCACACGAACAGGAGACAATACACACTTAAAGTTTACGCAGAGTGGCTGGGAAACAAGAACATGGCTTGTTCCTGGTTTCAGTTGATGTAGAGGCGTCTCTCAGCCACAGGCAGGTAAGTCTTCTGGTATGTTTTACAGAACAGATGAGATGCAAATAACATTTTTAACCACTTTGAGCACTAGACAACTGAATAGACTGTTGAAAGAACAAAGATAGGGCAGTGTTAGAGAAAGTTGTATCTTAGTATGTACAATAATCTGTTTTAATAAAATAGCTTGCTTCAATTTTTGTTCCTACCTCTTTTCTAATTGGTTTGCAAATGCAATAATAAATAAGCTGTTTTATGACTAAATCTTTTGGTTCATTAAATCCCATGCAGGTGTTTTACAACACAATTTTCCTTAAGAGAGCTATCTAAACTTCAAAGGTGACTTCTGTTCTGTATTTTGTTCTCGTGAATGCTGGTTCCATGTGAAGTGATCTTAGCGTGCAAATTCCTTCTGACAGAAACAATAGGGCACAGTTAAGCAGTCTGCTGGTCAGCCCACACGAGGGGATGGCTGTCACCTTGCAGTCCTCATGTCCTGGTGTTCCAGAGCCTCAGTAGCAATAGTCCCCAGCAGAATTCTTCTTCAAAGCTTGCTTTCTGCTTCAGACTGCAATAGACTTTGGGATGTAGATTCCTCATCTAGACTGTAATGCTTCTAATGTTTTTAACACATTCAGGGCAACGGGAGCAGTTCTCAGAATTTTAGCACATAACAAAGTGACTAGATTTTCAACAGAGTTTCTGTAGTTTGGAGAGCTACTGTCCTTTGGGAGTTTTGCTGGGAAAAAAAATCCCTTCTGAAAGCTGTGTACTGACTGCCATTAGTGCCCTGTACAGCAGCAGAGCGAGTGCTGGCTGTGGTGATGCTAGTGTGACTTCAGGTATATCTTTATACTGGGAGCAAACCCATCCTTGCAGAGTTGCTGAATCATGACCACCACATCAGAAACCTTTCCTTGTGTTCTCGCAGGCAGTGAGCAGATAAACCGCAGAAATGTGGGGTGGTATACAAGATACTTGTTTGAGGTTCCATAAGGCAAAGAGCCAGGTCCTGCACTTGAGTTACAACCCCATGCAGCACTACGGGCTGGCGGAGGAGTGGCTGGAAGGCAGCCAAGTGGAAAAAGACCTGGGCGTGCTGTTTGACTGGCTGAACATGAGCCAGCAGTGTGCCCTAGTGGCCAAAAAGTCCAAGGGCATCCTGGCTTGTATCATCCACAGTGTGTCCAGCAGGACCAGGGCAGTGATCGTCCCCCTGTACTCGGCACTGGTGAGGCCACAGCTTGAGTACTGTGTTCAGTTCTGGGCCCCTCAATTTAGGAAGGGCATTGAGGTGCTCGAGCATGTCCAGAGAAGGGCAACGAGGCTGGGGAAGGGTCTGGAGCACGAGTCCTACCAGAAGCAGCTGGGGGAGCTGGGGTTGTTTAGTCTAGGAAAAAGGAGACTCGGGGGATCTTATTGCTCTCTACAATCACCTGAAAGGAGGTTGTAGCGAGATGGGGGTCGGCATCTTCTCTCAGGCAACTAGTGACACGACAAGAGGACACGGTCTCAAGCAGCGCCAGGGGAGGTTCGGGTTGGACCCTAGGAAGAATTTCTTCACTGAAAGGGTGATTAGACACTGGAACGAATGGAGGTGTCCCTGGAGGTGTTTAAGGAAAGACTGGACGTGGCACTTAGTACCCTAGTCTAGTTGACGTGGTGATGTTCGGTCATAGGTTGGTCTCGATGATCTTTTTCCAATCCAGTTTATTCTGTGATCGTGACCACCCGTCTGAGCCCTTTTCTCGGATTCTCGCAGGCAGCGGGCAGATAAACCGCAGCAATGCGGTGCGGCGGCGTATACGACCCGCATCTCCCAAGGGACGTGCGTGGGCCGCCACTTGTGCCTGCGAAGGGAGGCAGGGAGGGCGGGTTTGGCCGCGCATCCCCCGGGGCAGCAGGACGGAGCCGCCGCGGGCTCCGGGCGGGCGCCGCTTCCGCCACGTGTCCGGCCGGGCCCGCTCGTTGCCGCGGCGACGGGAGCCGCCCCGCCCCTTCCGGCCTCGCATGGCGCCGTCTCTTCCGCTGCGGGGAGTAATATGGTGAGTGGCCCCCGCCGGGGGGAGGGAGGGGGCAAGGGAAGTCGTGCCTCGGACAGGGAGCGAGGAGGCTGCTGGAGGCGCCCCTTTCTCCGCCGGGGCGGCGGCGCCGCGGGGCGCCCGGGTTGACGCGGCCTTTTGGGGCCGCGGGGCCCGAGGGCTGCGGAGGGCGTCGGTGTCCGTGCGGTGTTTCCTCCTCGGAGCTCCCCGCCCTCCCCTCGAGCGCGGTCGCCGCGGGCTCTCGGGGCCGCGGCCAGCCGGCACCGCGGCAGAGGCGGGATGGTGCCGGGGTCGTGGGGGCTGCTCTGCCGGAGGGGCGTCTCGAATGAGATAACCGGGCTGGGTCTGAGCCTCAGAGTTTTCACTCCCCGGCACATCAGTCAGGGAACTGGGATTCACCCCAGGACAAGCAGGTTACAGTGCCCTTGCTCCTGTCTGTCGGCGGGAACACGGGGCTGTCACTCTGTGTCTCGCTTCCCAAAGAGAAGTCGTTCTTGTGGGAACGACCGCTTTGTGTGTGTGTTCATCTGGGCGGCGAAATGTTCTCTTTCCATGCTGAGTATCAATGAAGTGACATCGGTGTCAATAACAGGTGCTGTCACCTGTTGGCATTGTCGGAGCAGAGGCGGGCGCTCGCTGCGGAAACACTTCTTGTGCAGCTCTTTTAGCACCACACGGGGACCCTCAGAGGCTGAGGTGTGGGGCAGCTGCCCTCCTCGCCCGCACTGAGGTGTTGGCAGAACACTAGGATTTAGGGAAGCTTTAATGCCAAGGTGCAACACCTGCTGCGTTAGAGCTCGCTTGTGGGGTGAGCTGTGATTAGGATGGGTTTGTGCGAGGTTCTCTGTGGCACAGAATATACAGCACAGCATCCTTCAGTAAGCAGGGAGATGGGGCACAATGTGGCTGGGCAAGGGACATAGTGCGGGAAAGAAATGGGTGCGAAGGCAACAGAGAGGGCTGCGGAGATGGTGGAGGGCTTGAAGGGGAGGTCACTTGGTCTGTTCAGCCTGAAGGAGACTGAGGGGAGACCTCATGGCAGTCTGCAACTTCCTCTTGAGAGAAAGAGGAGGTACAGGGACTAATCTCTTCCCTCTGGTGATCAGTGACAGGACCCAAGGGAATGGCCTGAAGTTGTGTCGGGGAGGTTTAGGTTGGATATTAGGAAAGGGCTCTTCACCCATAGGTGATTGGCTACTGGAACAGGCTCTCTGGGGAAGCGGTCACAGCGCCAAGCCTGACAGAGTTCAAGAGGTGTTTGAACAATGCTCTCAGGCACATGATGTGATTCTTGGGGCTGTCCTATGCAGGGCCAGGAGTTGGAATTTGGTGATCCTTGTGGGTCCCTTCCAACTCAGGATATTCTGCGATTCTGCAGTACAGCAACCTTCATAGGTAGGCAGTCCACTGCCTGTTAGAAAAGCTTTCCAAAGTGTTCTGGCATCCTGCATGTCTCCGTTGAGAAATAAAATAATCCTGTAATGATTTGCTAGTAAAGAAAACAATAAGTGCCAGTGTTTTGCCCCAGATGACCTAAACTTGGATCTGTACTACTGCTTAAATTTTAATTCATGGCACACATATATTTCTCAGATAATGTAAAATACAGCTGTGTTGACAAAGATGTCTGTAAGTTAATTGAGTTTGCTTTGGTGACCAGCCCATTAGGATATCTTTTTGTCTTCTGGTGGTACCTGAAGTGTGATAGTTTAAAATCAAACCTTATTTTGTCCAGCCCCAAATTGCTGCAGATGACAGACCATCCATTACAAATCCACAAATTTCTATTGCAGATCAGAAGGGCTTTTCACATGGAAAGCTTATTTCTTTGTGGGGACAGCAGGATGGAAAACAACTGACTAGAAGCTTGAGCCCTCTGAGGGACGGGAGCCAAGTGGCATGGCTGATGAATTGTTTGCTCCCTGTCATGCTTTCAGGAAAGGCACATAGCTCCCCCTCATTCCCATCTCCTGTATGCACATACATCCCCTCCACACCAGGAAAGAGCTTATCTGCATGCCACTGGAAGTTAGGAGACAGAGCACCTGCAGTGACCACGTCTACTGTGCATGATTAAGTTAAGCCGTAACTGAGCTTGTTTGTATCTCTCATAGTGTTATTGGCCTTGTGTCCACCACATCACAGATGATACTAGCATTGTTTTTACTTCTCTGATGGGTTCTCTTTTATAGATACATAAACAGTATTTTCCTGTTTAGTAAATCTCTTGGCTTTAGGTGGGAAGTATGCTTTGATAAAGAAAAATATTTGTGTTGTCAGACTGTCTGTAGTAGTTTTATCTAAATAAAAGTTTAAACCCACTCTTTAAATGGTATTTTAGTATGTTTTCCTGTAAGCTTGAATTGTGGATTATGTCTAAATGAAGCTTGATTCTAAGTAATTCATCATTTTCTAATAGAATAACCATGCGAAATGGCTACCAAAATACTGTTTTATTTATTGTCTATGAGATATTTACTAGTTACACAAAAAATTTTGAGTCTTTGATATAATTATGAAAATAGTTCACAAATGAATATTTTCTTTTTGCTAATTTAAACCATGGCTTAAGTAAAATGTTTTAATTAAACTATTGAATTTTTTTTAAGGGGACAATACATCTGTTCCGTAAATCACAGAGATCATTGGTTGGAAAGTTAACACATGAATTTAGGTTGGTTGTAGCAGATAGAAGGGTAAGTATTGCTTTAAAAAAATCATCACAATAATAAAAAGACATTAGCTGTGATAAGTTAAAATATATTTTTAAGTATATTTTGAAAATTATTCTTTGAATTTTCTAGTTGTGCTTAAAAAAAGAATCCAGCTCTGAAGCTGGATTCCTTCCTGTGCACTGTCCCTGTTGATTAGTGTTCTCCAGAATTATACTTATATTTAATGTGTTCAGTAGAACCCTAAACTGAATATGTGCAGATGTTTTTGGGTCCAAAGTTTCGTCTCAAAAAAAAGGAACCCATTAATATAAAGTTGTACAAATCTGTCTTCAGAAGTCAGATGGCGTGTGCTACAATAAAATGCAAATGTTATACAGGGGTGATTGGTTTTCAGACCAAAAAGGTATTTTAAGCATGGTGAACAAGGGCTGTTTATAAAGGAGTTTTGAAATAATCTATGAAGTTTAAAATAGAATAAGAGCTTGTTGTTCTGAAACGAGTGGTAAATTTTTGGGAGGGAAGAGAAGCCAGTTCTATTTTCATGATGAAGTCCTGCAATATTGTTTTTTAAAACCAAATAGATATATTTTTGTCTTGTAAATTTTGGAAGATGTAAAATACATATTTATTCTCATCAACAGTCCTGGAAGATTTTGCTGTTTGGTGCTATAAATTTAATATGTATTGGCTTCCTGCTCATGTGGTGCAGCTCTACAAACAGCATAGGTAGGTGACTCTCCTGTACTGAAGCTACAACCAACTACCATGTGTTTCTTAGCTTGTGAAGTTCTAACAGACTGAAAAAGCAAAGTTCAACAGGTAGTGGAGGTAGGTGGCTACACAGCCAGGTTCAGAAAGAGCTTCCTTTTGATTTGCCACAGTCAGTTTAGAGACATTTTTCACAGTCAAGTGTGAATGAATGAAAGGTTTTCCCGACCTGCTGGTTGTTTGCTTCCTGCAGTATCTTCTTCATCTTTAAGACTGAAATCCAGTAGACTTTTGAGTTAGTCCTCAAACCTGTTCCTTGCATAAATATCACCAGTGACATACAACGGCCCTCACTTGCAGTTGAATGAAGATGTTTGTAGTGTGGCAAATGGCTTAGGCTTCTTTGATTCCAGGAATGCCCCTTTTCAGTGTTTCTGTGGTATGTTGACCTTGGCTGAACATTGCCCACCCAGCTGTGGAGAGAAAAAGGGAAGAGAAGATAAGATGGAAGACAACTTTTAGGGTGAGATAAGGCACTTTACCAAAAGGTTCAAAAGGTTGCACACTCATAAGCAAAGAGAAAAAAAATTACTCCCTACGTCCCATCAGCAAGTGATGTTCATCCACTTCCCAGGAAGCAGGGCTTCAGCACGCGTAGCAATTGCTCTGGAAGGCAAACGTTCTAATAACGAATGCCCTCCTCTTCCCCCTCCTTTTCTTAGCTTTTATATTTGAGCTGACATCACATGGTATGGAATATCCATTTGGTCAGTTTGGATGAGCTGTCCTAGTTGTGTCCCCTCCCAGGATCTTGCCCACCCCCAACCCCTTGATAGGGGGGGAATGTTGAGAGACAGTGCTGATGCTGTGCCAGCACTGCTCAGCAGCAGCCAAAACACCGGTGTGTTATCAACACCTTGGTAGCTACCAATGCAGAGCACAGCACTGCGAGGGCTGCTGTGGGGAAATGAACTCCATCTCAGCCAGACCCAGTGCAGTTTTGTATGTCTTCTACTTCTGAATAGGGGCTTCGAGATCTCCTGTACTGAAAATAGAAGGTTGAACATTTTTAATTTTTTGCCACAGGTTTCCTTGTGGTTTTGAGATAGGTGAGACATGCAAAGCAAGTAAAAAATTCTGTTGAACCTACTTTTCACTGCAATAATGCACATAAGAAATCTCTTGCTTTGGTGGGTGATGTGCTTTTGGAAGATCTCCCGACTTTTCTGTATTTAAATTCCTAGTCACAACACAGTCACAAATGTAATACATTTTGTATCTCGGCATTATTACATGGTTTAGTAGAATTAGGATTGCCATAATCAATCTGTTTGATGTTAAATATATTGATGTGTTTAGAACATTCACAGAGACTTGTTCTATCAAGCAGAGACGGTTTATGTAAATAGAAGATTGAAAAGAGCTGCATGAAAGGGACTTAGAATACAAGTGATTTCTGCATTGAAAAACTATATTAATTTTTAATATTTGCTTTTTTTACAGCTTTAACTGCTTACACATATTTGACAATCTTTGACCTTTTCAGGTGAGTTTTTTTCCCATTTTGTCTTACTGTTCATTTGTGCCTGTCTTTTTATATTTCCATACACTTAACATTTACTTACAGATGCAAACACATGTAACTTAGTCATCAGTACAGAAACAGTAACTGGTTTAAATATAGAATAAATAAGTATAAAATTGGACATCACAATAAATAGGTTATAAAACCCACCATAGATGTATTGAGAATGACTAGTAGCAAATCAGTTCAGTCATGGAATTCTCTGTGCAGATGCATGACAACATAAAACAGATTCTAGCATCAAACTGTCATGTAGTTGTTCACTCAGAGCATTTCCCTAATGCCAGAGTCATTGATTTTGAAGTAACCCTCAGTTTTAGCATCAGTAAACAAGGAGTAGGTAATTGTATTTCTATTTCAAAAATATTAATGAGCTGAGTCCCAGGCACTCTTCCCATGTGGTATTAGATATTTTTAGTGTTTTTCTTGTTTCTTAAGAAAATTATATTAAAACTACTTTAAGTATGATAGTTCTGAACACTTTTGGTAATATTGGTAGTACAGATGTGAAATATATTCAGTTAAATTAATCTGTACTGCATTAGAATTGTAATTTAACTTTAATGAATCTCATATTTTTCTTACAATTTTGTATCTGCTGAGTTTTGTCATCTTGACCCAAAATACCCTTTTCACCTTGGGGGAAGTTTTGATGTTGTACTTCCTGGTTGTGTAGAATTTTAGTTTTAGGAGAAGATAGAATACCCCTGGCAACTTTTCTGGGGTTGGACTAGAAGATTATTCTAACTCACAGCGATCTCTTTCAAGAGTTTTGATTTACTCTAAGGGAGAACAATGCTCAGTAATTCTGCTGCAAAATTCAATTTGTGGTTATTTCAGTTTTCTCATCTTCCTGGTTGTTTATAATAGTCTTACTGAGTATATGAATTTGCTGTTTTGTGTATGAGCAGTATTATTTCCTCTGATTTTTCTTTCACTCTGCACAGCTGGGGATCAGGTTGTGAGGATGTGATTGTACATCAGTTGTAGGGATCAGTTCTTGATCCAGTCTGATTTAACATTGTCATTAATTATGAAAGGACTGCATGAAGGCAGAGTTGGCATCAAATCCGTATGGATTCCTGTTTAAAAAAACTGTCCAAAGGAGTCAATGGAGTTAAAAATAGGCAAAGTAAATGAGACTCATCCTTGAAAAATTCAGGCTAGTACCATGGGGATAAAATAATTGGAATTCTAGTGTTAATTGTGAAAGAAAAACGTGGAAAGAAGATAGCAAGAGAGACCTGTAGCTGTCAATGAATGGCCAGTTAGATTAGAGGTTGTATACATCAGTGCAGCCAAAGAAAGTAAATCTGTTTTGGCCATATATGTAGAGCAATTACACTGTGACAAAGAAAGGCAATACTTGGCCGTGGCCTGAGACTCAGTCTAGGGTGCTAAACTGAATTCCTGATGTATCTCTAAAAGAAGAGTTTAGTGGAAAACTTCCTTTGCCTTTTTTTTTTCACTTTTCTTGCTGATTTCTTTCTTTTCACAGTCTTGCTGATTAGCTTCCTTCTTATTTAAATGGCCTTTCTCAGGTTACAGTATCTCTAGGCAAATTCAAAAAGCAAATGCAAGGGGAACATTTACTGGGTGTCTAGTTTGATACTTTCCCTGGCTTTTGCTTTGTACTTTTCATTACTATGTGTGGTCCCAGACAGTATTAAGAAGATTTTGTCAAATCACTTTTGCCTGTTAGTCAGGTTCTGGGGTACCTGGTCTCGTATGCTCCAGGTCCCTTTCAGAAAAATTCATGGAGCACATGCAAATTAAACACTGGTTATGCTATTTTGTGTCAGGGTCTCAGAGGAAAAATGCATTGCATTTGGAGTTATGGTAAACTTCATTTAGGCTGGGTGATGTTCTATATTGAAGAAGGTTGGTGGTAGCCTTTGTAAGCACAGCATGCCGTAAGGGCAGCGTTAGGCTGTCTCCTGCTCTGAGGAATTAGATCGACTACCATTCTGCTAAAATTATTTGCTGCCCTTTTTATGGGACCAACTGAGACGTCATCGTGCAGTCTCAGCTTTGTTCCCAAGCACAACCTTTTCTGGATTCACTGGAACAGTCATTGTGACAGTGGTGGAGGTGTTGAGTCAGGGTAAGATGTGGTCATATTTGTTTGTGGAGTTCTGATGGCTCAAGTGTATTTGTAGATTGTCCAGTTTATAAAGGCTGCAGTTATTTATCATAGTCTAATTCTCCCCCTTTTTTCAGTTTGATAACATGTCTAATAAGCTACTGGGTAATGATGAAGAAACCCAGCCCAGTCTATTCATTTGGGTAAGTACTAATAACAAGATCTGGTGTTTGATACTGCAGCATTTGATATGTTGCTGGCTATCATTGCCTGGATCCCCTAACAGCCATGAGTAATAATTTGTGTGTGAAAGAGCCCAGAAATAAGGAGGGCCAAGACTGATGTTGTAAAGAACAGTTACAGAGTAGGGGAGGGACAGGAAGAAGAATTAAGAAATACTTAATTTTAAGCTGTATCTGGTAAGAGGAGTATTGACTTAAAAGAAACAGAAAATAATGCCCACTCTGTAAAACTTCCCGTTTCTTCCCATCTGTCTGCTTTTGAAGGAATTGGAAAGAGTAGGTCTGTCCTGCTGGTTACTGTACGGAAAAGACTCTGTTTGATGTTCAGTGTTCCTAAACTAAATTCTCAAATTTCAGGTTTGAAAGGTTTGAAGTACTAGCCGTATTTGCATCTACAGTTCTGGCACAGCTTGGTGCTCTTTTTATACTGAAAGAAAGGTAAGTTGTGTACTGTTTTCTTTAATTTTTTGTAATATATGAAGATATTCTTCCCCTAGAGGGTAGTTGGGTGCTGGAACAGGCTCCGCAGGGAAGTAGTCACAGCACCAAGCCTGACAGAAGCGTTTAGATGATACTCTCAGGCACATGCTGTGACTCTTGGGGACGGTCCTGTACAGGCCTAAGAGTTGGACTCACTGATTCTTGTATGTCCCTTCCAAATCGGCATATTCTGTGAATCTGTGATTCTGAGATATGGTCCAGATCGAGCAAAAGCACATGCGTTCCAGAACTGCTATTTTAGAGATATTTTAGAAAAAAATTTAAAAATTTTTTTTTAAATATTGCTAAACAATACCACTTACTCACATTTATTACTCTACATGTAGGGTTTAGATATAATGATAGGAATTGATAAATATAATTAAACAACTCTCAAGAGAAAGTTTCAATGTCTTTAAGAATATATTTTTCCAAAATGTTGGGTAATTAACTTAATGCATTTCCTTATGCATCTTCACTTTTTAAATTCAGTAACAAATAAAATTGTTTTTAATTATTTTTTCTCTTTTACTTCTGTTACTTCGTGAAGTAAAGCAGCTACGTAATATATTAAGAATCTGAATGTTTAAACTATCAACTGCTTCACTCCTGCAAAATTTGTTCATATATTAATTTGACATACCATCTATGATTGAAAGCATTTGTGTTTCAGGAGGTTAGCTTAAAAAATTATTTTAGTGTTTAAAGATGAAGAAGCTTTTGTTAACATCTGGAATTTAAAACTGGGGCAGTGTACCATCCCTTTTTCTATTCAAGGGCTCTGTTTTCTATATAAAGGGCTATGTTAACAACTTAGTGATTTTATACTATAAGGTTGATCTGTTATACTGACAGTACACTGGAATGGACCCACTGTCAAAGCCTCCAAATTTTCCAACATCAAAACTGATCGTAGGCTTTTCTGTTACATCTCATTTGGTAATTTACCAGTGCGTAAAAAAAAAAAGATCAATGTGTCTTCCACAGTGTCCAATGTCTACTTTATTTGACCTTACTTAGTGAGAGGCTGTAAGTCAGAAATTTCAGACTTAGTTTTTTGTAGTCACCAACAGTGGTGGTGGTAGCAGTAGCAGTATGTTCTTGCATGTTCATTTACAAGCATCTTTTTATCATGTAGGCAGCATTCATGGTAGCTAGCACCTATGTAACACAGTTTGGAAATATTTGGAAAATCTAAGTTACATCTGCTTTGATTCAGTGTTAAATGCTTTCATTGCTTGTAAAAATTGCTGTGTTTATCTAAGCAATTAATTTTTTTCAGTGCTGTATCCGTTAGTTTTTGTTTATGAATGGCATATACAGAACTATGAAAATACGCTTCAGGTTTCAAGGTTTTACTGTATGAACATAACTCAAATTTTCAATTATTTTTGTAGCGCAGAGCGGTTTCTGGAACAGCCTGAGATACACACGTAAGAAATTATTTTGACATGTACAATGTGTCCGTGTCCCTTTATGTTTCTAGTTCTTAATCTATCATGTGTTAGTTATGCAAGTACATTCAACACCAAATTGCTTTTGGTACCTTGGCATTTGTTTCAAACTATGTGCAAGCTGTATTATGAACAGTTTTTTCAAGGTACAGTTGAAACGTAATTCTGATGCTCTCTTAAATAATGATTTAACTCTATATTGCTGGGTTTTCTAGTTTAGTTACTCTCATTTCTTATCGAGGCCTCTTAGGAGGCCTTGTATGTTGAGGGGAAGGATGCTGTGGTCATGAGGGAGCTGAAGGTGTTGCAAAGGTCATGAAGACTATAAAGAAAGTGTAGAAAGGAAAAGAAGGTGTTACATGGCGAAAATCTGGGACATGGGATGTATGGTGAAGTTGTAGTTCTAGAAGAAGGATAGGGGCATACTGTAGGAAACTAAGCTTTTTAGGTGTGCTGATGAGGGGACAATTTATTCGTATCTTCAAAGGACAAACGTAATTAGTTAAGAACTGTTATTCAACATTAGGTACAGCCTAATGTGATAACAATAATGGACAAAATTCAGTGATCTCATATAACCCTTACAGTGATAATACGCTGCCAGTTATTAAGCATTACACTAGTTTATCTTACTCTTGTTTTCAGCCTCAGTGAAAAATACCAAGCAAAGTATTTTGGTATCGTTTCTAGTAATTACAGTTTGATGTAATTACTGTAGTTTTACTATACATTTATATATATTTATATATAGTTTTATATAGCTTAATGTAGTTTGTGATGGTGTGAAATTAAGATACTTATTTTCCCCTCCCTAGGGGACGACTGCTGGTTGGTACTTTTGTGGCCCTGTTTTTCAACTTATTTACAATGCTTTCCATTAGGAATAAGCCTTTTGCTTACGTCTCTGAAGGTATGTGATTAATTAAATCATAACAACAACTGAGATAAGATTTTAATGTTCGTATTTTTATTAAGATATAACTTGTCTGGTAACTTTATTAACTAGGGGGCATATATTGCTATTATAACCTCATGCAGTTTAAAATTGCCATCTGATTATAAGCAAACTTTAGTTTGCTTATAAGGCTCTGAGTAGAATGTAGTCATTAATATGATAAATTAAGGGTCATTTTAATGTTGAATTTTCCTTTATTTTCAATCTTTTGGATTCAACCAGTGAAGGTCATCTGACAGATAGCGGAACTTGGAAGACATTTTATGGATATATTAATGGATAAAAATAATGTAATAATTCTTCTTAATAGCTCTTTTACATTTTTCATTGTGAGATAGGCTTGCATTCATTCCATCTAACTGTAAATTGTTTATAGTAATAATTATATATTATACATTATACTTTTTCTTACACAAAAGATAATGGTTATAATCTGCAATTGTTTTGTATTTAATCAGTTCAGATTATTACAAGATGGGTGTTTTACTTACTGCCTGGAAAAGTCAGTTTGGTTTTTTTCACATGCCAGTGAATCTATTGAGATGCATTTACTACTTCACAGTGTATTTATTGGATTCTTTCCTTAAAATAAAATTTAGGTACTTTAAAATGGATACCTTTACTTGTAGTAACTTTATTACCCTCTTTCTTTTGCAGCTGCCAGCACAAGCTGGCTTCAGGAGCATGTCGCAGATCTTAGTAGAAGGTAAAGCTTTATACTGTTTTTCAAAATTGTTAGCTTCTGAAAGGCAATGTTGGTTTTGTGTGTATAATAACAATTTGGATAGGTATTGAGGCATAAACTGTTGTATTAGAGCTTTTAAAATAGCTTTACCTACTCTAGGTTTAGTGTATGAACTCTGGAACAAACATTGTCTGCCATATTTCCCAGACATATCAATCTAACAGAAATACATCTTTCTGGATATCTTTCCTTTTGAATGTATGTGTTCAGTACATTGTATGTAATTCCCCTTGAATGAGACGAGGAGAACTAGCATTATCTTGTACATACTTGAACTGCATTTCTCAATGAGTGATATATTTTGTAGTAATTTGTGTTTATTTACTGTGTGGGCTGGGCAAATGACTGAGATGGTTGAGTTTAAAAGTGATATGTGAAACAGGTTACTCACAGAAACATAGCTATGGAAACTCCTCATCTGTCCAGCAGGACACTGGAAAGTCTGTGTCTTCCAGGGACAGAAGCAGTGTTGCTCATTCATCTTGTCTGTTAACTCTCTTGCTTGTACTGGATGTCTGAACCATTGTTTGCATATAATTTTGTCAGATGTCAGAAAAGTTTATTTTAATCCATACATGTTCTTCCAAGTATCTGTCAGTATCGAAATAAGAATGTTAAAGTATATTGTAAAACATGTTAACTATGCTTCAAAGTCCATCTGTTTCTGGGTGTTGTGATCTTTTTACAGTTGAGGAAAGCAGAGAACGCTGACTTGTTAAAAAGAATAATTGATATTATATGGGCATCAGAGCCAAATTATGCAAAATAGCTTTGGAAGACTAATAATTGGGTTGCCCAAGTACCTGGAGTTTCAATATAAAAAAGAAAAAAAAAAGTTGGATAGAAATCACAGACAGTAACAGAGTTTTTCTTTTATCAGTGTAGAAACATGGTGTGATGGGGAAGGACACTGATGGGTAACTTGAAGGGGTCCGAGATCAAGAGTGTAGAATTATTACAGGGTTTTGAGATAAGCTGTATACAATTATGCCAATAATAATAATTAAAAAAAAAGAATTAGTATGTATACAGCAGCTGTTTCAGATGCCTCATGTGGAGCAGTGCTGATTACAAAATATCTGCACCTGTATATAATTATGTTGATTAAGATTCTTACAGGAGCAGGCCAGCACATGATGTCTAAACATAGGTTGGCTCTAAACAGAACAACAAGATGTTTCATTTTGTCCCTGCCTTTAAATTTTCCATGACGTGACATGCAGTTGTATTAACTGGGAAGTACAGAACCTCCTTTCTCTCTTCATTCTTCCATTGACAGGAGATAGCTATAAATAAGTAACTTTTCCCAGTGTTCCCTCATGGGTTTTTTTGGTCTCCTCTTATTCAGCTAGCTGGTCTCCTTACTCTTTTCAGACTCCATGAATTAGTTAGCTTTGGCTTTAGAACACTTTTGCACAGTAAGGTGGCAGATGGGTTGTAGACTAGTGATATGCAAACCCCTCAAGACTTACATACATGTAAGAACAGTATCTGAACCTGTAAAGTACTTGTGTTGCATATGGCTGACACAGCCAGCTGAGTTACCAGAAAAAAAGAAACTGGCACAAGACGTGTATTTTAATGTGTAGAAAAACTGCATAAAGATTAGCATAATATAATGTTTTGTAGATGGGGAGATAGATTTAAGGCAAATTTTTTTTAAGATGGAAGAGTCAAGTATTAAATATGGGAAAGAAAGATGTAGCACTATATCTGATGAGAAACTTGTTTAAAGGAAAGAATATGACATGGATCTAAACTTGATTAATCTTTGCTGACAGCAGCCTTTAAGCAGAATTAGAAGGGCCTTTACAGTACTCATCATACGCTGTGACAGCAAGGTGTGTTTGAAGTCAAATGCTGAAATAGTGGGTGTAACTTCTGGGTTTCGAAGTAATGATGAACAGCTGGCTGACAACTGCTTTTCCTGTTTTGTTACAGTATTTGTGGAATCATCCCAGGATTAAGTAGCATCTTTCTGCCACGGATGAACCCTTTTGTCTTGATTGATATTGCTGGAGCTCTAGCTCTTTGCATTACATATATGCTCATCGAAATCAAGTAGGTACAGTTGTTGTTTTTAAAAAGTAACTCTTTTTGTATCCAGTCTATGGGAAAATACATTTTTTACATGAAAGGAATGATCTCGTCTAGAGCTGTATTTTGTATGAATGGCATTGCAACTCCACAAATGCATTTGTCTATTTTCCAAGATGTACGGTTCAAATGAGATTAGTATGTGTAATATTCTATAATTGTATATAACTTAAAAGAATAAAAAAGAATCATAAGAAAGTTTTCCTGCCTTTCAAAAATGTAAATAGCAGTTTTTCTTTAAAATTGCTCTTTCTCTCTAGCAATTATTTTGCTGTAGACACAGCCTCTGCTATAGCAATCGCATTGATGACATTTGGTACCATGTATCCCATGAGTGTCTACAGTGGGAAAGTACTACTCCAGGTAAGGCATTGTCACAAAACAATGGGTTTTGTGATTTCAGTTTTGTTAAATGTCCTCATTAACAAAAGCAAACAAACCTTAAAATCTGTTTTAAGCATGTAAATAGAAGTGTTCCCATGGAAATTTGTGATGTGCTATAAGAATTTTAAAGGCAGTGGAAATATGCATCATGAAGTCATAAGAATTTATTGTTTAATACCATTGGTTTCTTGTGTAAGTAGACCGGGCTTAAAGGCTCTCTTATTTAAACAGGGCCAACTAGTCTTTATTATAACTTTTTCTTTTTTTTTCCTCTTCTTTTTGAAGACAACCCCACCTCATGTGATTGGCCAGTTGGATAAACTTCTTAGAGAGGTAAGCCAGTGTATAATACATAGCACAGTGTGCACAGCTAACTAAATAAGCATTCAAGAATGTGAAGAGTTTTTCCTAGTAGTCCAAGAAGATTGCTAAAAAATTATTTTTTAAATATTATTTTTTAGCTGCATGTAGAAAATATGAAACTTGCTTTCAAAGATGAATAGTGAAATTCAGGTATCTGGAACACATCTGTTCAAGTAGCGAAGTCGGTTTTTATTTAAATTTGAGCTACCATTGAAGTGGTTTACTACAAATGTGAGTTAGAGGAGGAAAAGGAGTACAGGCAGCTGTTGACTTACAGCATATTGAGTTGAGAACATACAGCAGTTTGTCAGCAAGAGTTACTTGAAATAAGTTCCTTAAATCTTTTTTTATTGATTTGGATGTCTGAGGATAGAAAAGTAGTAGATGAGCAATAGTGGCATTAGCAGATGTCGTCTGTTCTGTGTATAGAGCTTTTGTTTCACTACTGAAAATTATGTATTATTCAGTTATGTTTGCATAAAAGTACATTTCTAAAGGGATTTGAAACTTATAATTTATTTTCATATTTCTGGATGTTTGTGCAAAATTAGGTTTCAACTTTGGATGGTGTGCTGGAAGTTCGAAATGAGCATTTTTGGACATTAGGTTTTGGCACTTTGGTAAGTCATGTCTATTATCTTTTTAGCCTTTAAAAAAAAGTCATCAGTTACTACTTTAAACTTTTTATTTAAATAAAGATATTTCTTCTAAAATCTTAACTATAAAAAAATTGATGGAGTCAGTATGCAGTCCTTGTGCTTTATTTTAAAACTTCTCTTCCCCTGCCCTTTATATTTTTCAAAAGCCTTGCTATTGGGTAATATTATGAATGTATACTGCAGTTCTGGATTAAAGTATGCATTTTGCAACTATAGAATTCTTTTGTATTTTGGCAGTGAAGAAAATCCCAAACAACAGCAAAAACATTTTTCAAATGGTGTGTTAGTGTACATGTCTAGGAAAATAGAAGAAAACTGTAACCCTTTAGGTACTAAAAGTCTACAGTAGACAGTAGAATTGTATTTTTTTCAGCATTTCTAGGGGAGAAGGTAGAATAAAACAACTAGAGATATGTACCAATAAAAAAAAAAGAAGGGTTTTTTGGTTTGCTTTGGGTTTTTTTGGTGTGTTTTTTGTTTGTTTGGGTTTTTTGTTTGGTTTGGTTTTGGTTTGGTTTTTTGGTTTTGGGTTTTTTGTTTGTTTGGGTTTTTTGGGTTTTTCTGCTGATACAGAATGATCACACAGAACTTGGTTATTCATAAGTTGATGCAGGGATGTTGTGACAGTTGGAAAATTAATACTCTTAGGATATTTCTCTACTTCTGAATTCTTCCAGTATGCTACCCTTCTTAAAAAAAGAAAAAGGCTGCAGTTCCTACTTGCTGATGTGAAAATAGCTTTCAGTTTACTATTCTGTCACCCAAAATACTGGATCACAGCATTGTTGGATTGATGACAGATATTTACAAGAACTTTGTGTGCATATTTAGCTATTGGCATCTTCCAGATTGTAGTAGAAACCTCCTGAGACCTGGATATGTTTTCAGCTGCACCATCTGATGTAAAAATGGCTTGTACGGCACAAACCGTGAACCATGTTCTTTATTAAATATGTGCTGAAAAAGCATGTGAGGGGTTCTGTGTTGTGTCCTGCTCTCTTCTGCAGCAGTAGATCAAGGTCAATGAGATAATGTTACTAAGAGGAAGGTAGGGGGAGCCTGCAGTTACATGCACATCCAGGGAAAGCTCTAGGCCTGAGCTCCACACAACCATTGCCTCTGTTCTTGCTAATGGTCCCCATTTGAGCCTCTTTGCCATGCACATTGTCCTCTTGCCTGCTCCAGTAACACAGTGATGACACTTTTGCCTCAATTTGGAATATGAAGTTTGTCTGCACTTTGTTCTTCTTTTGAGCCATTTTTTCTCCCCAACTGTTGTCTTTCCTACTATCACATGTTGTATTGTATAGTTTGGTTTTAAGACTCACTTTTCTCGAATTATGATCTTGATATGCTCATGAGATCGAAGCGTTAGCAAAGATCAAAATGTATCATAATTATGGAAGTATGTATTAAAGTTCTTAATTTAGTCAGTGGTCTCCACTGCAGAAGGTCTTGCCATAATTCTCTGCAGGATAACTTAACTTCTTCTTGATGCATAGAGAGAACCTTTATTGAAGTAACAGTTAACAGCCAACTTATTTTTGTCACTTTCTAGGCTGGATCAGTACATGTCCGAATTCGGAGAGATGCAAATGAACAAATGGTACTTGCTCATGTCACTAACAGATTGTACACATTGGTCTCTACTTTGACTGTTCAGATTTTCAAAGATGACTGGATCAGACCTACCTTATCATCTGTGCCTATTGCAAACAATATTCTGAACCTTTCGGATCATCATGTTATTCCAATGCCATCTTTGAAAGCTGTTGATAATTTGAACCCTGTTACGTCCACTCCAGCTAAGCCCAGCAGCCCACCGCCAGAATTTTCTTTTAACACGCCAGGCAAAAACGTGAGTCCAGTCATCCTTTTAAACACTCAAACAAAGCCCTATGGATTGGGCTTTAATCATGGATCCACACCCTACAGCAGTGTACTCAATCAAGGACTTGGAATACCAGGGATGGGAGCAGCTCAAGGATTCAGGACTGGTTTTACAAATGTCCCAAGCAGATATGGAACAAATGCTCGTGGTCAGCCCCGACCATAATAAACACCATTATTTATTGTACTTAAGGGTATTGACTTAATTCTTTTATTACCCAATTTTTATAAACATTTGGAATGTCAGATCATTCTAAATGGCTGGGAACAAGTGCATTGTTCATATTCATGAAATGGTTAAATTGCAACTTTTTTCTTTGCATCAGCCTGTGTAATGCCACAGATATTTTTCAGACTTATGATACTTTACAAGTAGTTTTTATAGAGTGTCTATTTCTACTCATCTTTTTATCCACTTTTCTTCATTCATCCAAGAATGTATTGAGACATAGCACAACTCCATAAGAGAGTAGAATTGTGACCAGGTAGCATTTTTTTTCTAATGCAAATTGCTTACAGAAATACAAGTCCCAATTTTCAGAGATGTTTTGATTGCTTTATTAAGCCATCTTTTGGCAAAGTCACAATTAGTTTTTGGTTGCAGAAATCCATCAGTATTTGTATTGTGGCCATTGTGAAGACAATCTGGCATTTCAGATTGTAATTAATTTTGTGAGACCACGTTTTTACATTTTTATTGATGCCTTTATAGAAATTCAGATGGTTCAGCAACCATTTTCTAGTTATAAGTATTTCATATTCATCTCTGATATTTCTTCCTTTTTGGTTTAACTGCAAAATTATCTAGCAATATACTGGGAAATAAAATATTTAAAACCTAAAAGATTTTACAAGCACCTCTTTTTTACAATTAACCCTATTTAGGATACAGAGCAGATGACTGTATTGTTTCTGAAGCCAGTATTTAATTTTTGACTATGGAAAGTATTCTGTGATTTGATTGTGACTTTGTATTTTTCCTCTTTGTATTCTTTCTGTAGTTTCAGGGGGAAAAGTATCTATTTATATTCCTGGTTTATATCCAGAGTGCAGATTGCTGACAGTTCTTAGTCACTGCTGGAGTGCTTGACCTTTGGGGCACACTTGGAACAAGAACACTTACCTTGTCTCTGCTTTTGCATTACTGTTCTGCTGTACATCTAGATGGCCATATTTCTTCAGGGCCTTTCTCAGATAGCTCTTTGCTCTGACTGTTTTCTTTTTCTTCACTGCTCTGACAACAGGGAAAGGCCTTTTAGAAATACTTCAATTTTTTCTGTTCTCCTGTGTGGTATCTATCTTATGATTGCTCCTCTGCACATTCTTCTGCATCTCTTGGCTGTTGAGGAATGGGTTGCCCATTCCTGTTGTTTCACTTGCAACTCAGGGTGCTATATATTGGCTTACACCTTGTTCATTTGTATACTAAGTGGTCTCTCCATTTGTCTGAGGTGGTTACATGGAGCTGTAGTATCTCAGGGATTCCAAAGATATTATGTTACCTGAAGATAATGGCTTTGATAAAGAAATCATTCTCTTGTACAACTGAGTGGAGAAAACAGTCTTCATTTGAATTTTAAAGATCTGTGGCCTCTTCACGCTGGCTGAGGATTTCTTTTTCTGCATAAGAACACTGCATTCCTCTTTTTTTTTTCCCTCCCTCTCCATTACCTGTGTTTCTCCAGCCAGTGCATGGAGAAGGGTATCATTCCTGCAAACTTGTGTAAAAGCAAGGTGACATTCTGCATTATGGTATCTTGTGGGGATATTTTAGACTGGGAGTAATGTCCAGACTGCTACTGGGATACAATCCATGTAAGTTACAAGTAGGGAATCTAGTTCTGTACTTCATTTGCAGCGAGAATGACAATTTCATTGCTGTTTTAGAAAATGTAAAGACCTGGAAAACTTGCATTTAAAGATTACAATGAACTTATAAAGATTGGCTCTGTTTTCATGAGGTCAGTATTAACTCAGTAATCACCTCTGTTTCGTTACCCTGTCTTTCTGTGTGGTCTATTACACATGCCATTGCTGCATGGAAATTCCTGAAGTACAGAACACTTGAACAGATTCTCTGTACCTCTTGGGTGCTGAACTAGACTGCACTTTCTACAGCATCTGCAACACCTTAGAGCCAGCAGAATGTTTACAATATACTACTCTTGTGTGGCCTATTTGAGAATTGTTCCTTACTCCAGTTTCATAACCAAACACGCGCCCTTTTTCTGACATTTTCAATACATTGTATTATATTGATTGCATGCCTACTTGTTTTTAGTAGAAAATTAAAGCTCCATTTTATGAAGCTGATCTTTTATTTAAAATCGGAAGGGAGGACGAGAATCCCAGAATTCTGAGTGCAATATAATCACTTTAACAAAAATATTTTTCAGAGTGATTGTTTACAGTATATATCACATGTGCAGATGATAAAGATTCTTTTAGAGATTAGAATAGCTTTTTAGCCGTGTTATTGTTGTGACTATATTAAGAATATTTGTTAAATCAGCACAGAGTAAAATGTCTCCTTTTATATGAGGAAAATAAAATCAGTGTAATTCTTAAATGACAAGGAAAAAGTGGTAATTTGTGTACAAGATTTTATAGTTATCTTTTTATATATATTGATTGTTTAAGTGATGCGCTCGGGTGATACATCAATCTCAATGAGCAGATGTGTCAAACTTCAGAACTGTTTTGATGGATCTGCTACCAATGTTCACTGGGTCCTTGGAATAATTCTACAGACAGTATTTTTACTGCATTACTGCATTACTGTATATTTACTGTCTTTAACTGTATTTTGCTCTTAGGTGGTCACAATCTAAATGTTTATTTGCTATATAGCAAATAAGAATTGTGAATTTATATCATCTTCATTCCTAATGATAGGAGTACTGCCCCAGCTAGAGAGAAAAGAGGACTGGTACTTGCTGTCATTTCTATCTGCCAGAGGATTTGGCATCATTATTCCCTTAAGTTTTTTCAACTTGATTGAACAGAAAAATTTCACTTCTAGGTAAATGCATCAATTAGAGAGTTTGAGGGGCATGTACCGTTATTTAGACTTAAGATTCTTGTGAGCAACTGTGCTGTCCTGATACAAAAGGAGCCAGAGCACCTATTACAATATAAATAACTAACATAATATGGGTTTTTTTGGAGCTTTACATGTTGAGTTTTGACTCCTGAGTTCATTCGGTTCTGCACTCCCTTTACGCAGGTAATAACCACATATACCTTTGGGAGGACAAAGCCAGTGCAGTGTCTTGTGGATGGTAGACTGATGATTTTTATTCCCCTCCCCTTGACTGAGATGTGACAAATCCTATTCAAGGAGAGAACCTGTGCAGCAATTCTGCTCATTAGATTAGTTGAAGTCGCTCTTTTGATTTCTGTCCCCTGCTGCCACCATCCAACAGAGACAGAAACTATGCGGGGATAGGTTCTTCAATATAAAGCCTCTGTCTGAATTCTGAATTGATTATCTGTCCTGTGCTTGTCCAGACCCTATGGATCTGGATACTTGGTCATATTCAGTGTTGAAACTGAGAGTAGAAGAGATACCAGTCCTGGTCTTTTCACTTGTATTTTTTGTTTTCTGGGCATTTTATCAAATGGCTTTGACTTTCTCCTGCCTGCTTGTTCTTCCCTGCCTTAGTAACCATGAGAACCCACCTTGCACCATGTCTTTGCTTTACTGGCTACTTCAGGTTCTTGTGCTTTTGCGAGTTTAGATTCTTGGATTCACATGGTTACTGGGCTGATATAAATTTTCCTTCCAACAATTATTTTTTAAATGAATGACAGAACATATAAATTATTAAGATGATGACCCTCCCCTCTTTAAACATCCAGTTAGGAGATGCCTCTCTTTTCCTGTACCAAAAAGAACCAACCCCAAAACCCAAGGTGGAGGGTGGGGGGAAAAGGAAGCTTTTTCATGTTTTCTTCACATTTTGAGAAACATTGATTCATATTTCACCAAACTGTGTCTCATTTCTTTGAACTGAGTAAATTTGGTGTACTACAAGGTTAAGTTACGGTTTCAACTCAGTCTTAATAGAGATTTTTTAAAAAAATAGCTTTTCCCAGTTATAACAACCCTCTGATCCAGCATTTCATAATGAAGCCTATTTTAAGGTAACTTTCAAATTCCTGAAGAAGCAGAGCAGCAGTGCACACTGCAAATGTGTACTGCATTTTTCAGAGGCCCTGTAAAGTATAAAGTACCACAAAAGTTCACCAGAATAAATCAGCCACACAAACTCATGTTTAATATTGCTGTATATAGCCATTCTCTTACCTTTTTTCACCATGTAGGAGGGTGAAGAGGGTGCCTTATACCGCTCAGAGTATTCAAACTTTAGAAGATTTAATTTTGTTTGTTAAACTATTTTCTCATGGGCTGCAGTAGAGGAGAATATGATTGCAAGGAGTTCAGATAGCTTTGATATATTTACACAGATGTACAGTAATACCTGAAAATAAACACATCTGTCCAGCTTTTTAGAATTTTCATTGTATTCTGTTTCAGAACTTGCATGCAAAACAAACATTTCTCACAAATGTTAAAGTGATGGGAAAACATAAAATGCGTTTGTTCCGTCTTGAGCAACCAAAATCTGATGGAATTTAATTTTCAGGCTATCACTAATACTAAAATTTTACAAATTTTCATTGCCGTAAATGTATATTTCTGTTACAACTTTAAAATATGGATTTAAATGTTGTCTTAGGCTCAGAAATCTTTGCTTTAGGAAAATGGTAAAATACAGGCCAAATCTGACATCCTGACGTAAGTCCCCATGGCTTATCTCCTTTTTAAGTCTCTTTGCTCAGGATAGAACTTCCTAAGGGAAGAAGTTCAGAGGAGTAAAATACTGACTTGTTTTCTCTCACTTCATCTTCCACCAGCTTGATATTTTTATTTTTTTCTTCAAATGCTCTTATCTTTTTCTCACCAGTGGAAACCATAATTCTGTGAGTAGCTTCTGAATACTGTTCTTCTGGCTTCCATTGATTTCATTACAGGCTTTCTTTTTGCTAGTGTTACACTAAATTTTTTGAATAATTCCACTAAGGGATGTAAAAACACAGGGTTGCTAAATTGGTGAGTATCTTTTTGGTGCCTAAACTACCGTTTTGCTTCTAAGTAATTTTATTTTTGATAGCACTTTGCCTTTAAAATGGTATTTAGATAAAATGATTGTTTCTAAAGTGATCATTTGCCTAGTATGATTATTTCTGTTGTGGTTTGTATTAAAAATGGCAGGTGGGTGGGGGTTTGGGGTTTTTTTGGGTCAAATGAATGATTCTCATGTGATTGAATGGTGTGTGCTGAGGCATTGTTCCCACACACACCACCTGATCTCTTTATATCTCCTGTGTTGCAGTCAAAGCACAATGGAAACCCCCCCATACCTTCCTGTTACCATCACTCCTCACCACCATTCTCCCTCAAAAAAACAATTTGGGTATTGCTCTGTTTACTGGTGGCCTGCTGTCTGCAGAGCCCTTGTAGCCCTCTTCGTAGGGGAAGGAGGAGAGGGAGCAGAGAGACTTAAAAAATCACATCCCATTTCAGGATGAGGTGATTTAGTTCAACCCAAAATAGAAGTCTGTTTTAGAGCATCTTTTGATAATGTGGCATACATTTCCATTGCTGAACATCGCAAAAGTTGGTCATGCCTTGTAAAAACTATCCAACACTTAAGTTGGCAGGCATCCCTTCCTGGGATCATAATATGTGACAAAAAACATGATAACAATCTGGAAGAAATTCTGGGTTATTTTTTATTCAGAGGGAAGACATGGAAAGATCAAATTCTTTCCAGGCTGAACTAGTTCTTATTTAATGCTCTCTTATTTGGCTACATGGAACATTGGGCCAGGAACAGCTGAATCAATAATCAGTCTAGCAAGAGCTATCTTATTTTGCTTTGCTTTACTGCTCTCCAGTTCAATTAAATAGCAAATGTGAAGGTGGGCAAACAGTATTTAAAATGGAGTACAATTTGTTGATGTTTTGTCTATCACAGGTTGAGATATTCCAGTACAAACACTTGTAGGATTTTGTTGAGATTGTCGATAGTGGTTTTGTCAAGGTTTTCTTCTGTGTCCTCCATGGTATGCCATACTGCAGGAAAAGGGGATGGAATCAGATGTAGGACTGGAACTCCTATAAAAAGAAAAGTGAAATTTGGAGAAGAAATATTGGAGAAGTTCTGTTAAGCCAAATGATATGTCGCCATTTAGCAACAGAGTCAGGTAACTACTTAATAAACTTGCTTTATAGGGTGTGTCACTGCAGCTTCCTTTTATCTTGTCTTATTTTGAAGCTTGTGACTGCATCCTGTCATTAAATTGTGTGTTCCCTAAAACTGTCACCTTCCTTTCCTTCGAGTACTTTTGCCTCCTTTTATTTTTAAGGCACCTGTAGTTACTTGTTGGGGTTTTTGTTTGAGATTCCTTTCATTGTAGAATGTTTAGGAGCCACAGAAGGGCAGAGAAACGACTGCAGCTCCTCAAACTGAAAA